CACAGAAGCTGGCCAGACTCGGTGGCTCATGCAGCTTATCATAGCACTTTGGGAGGCTCAGGTAGATGGATTGCTTGACGCCAAGAGTTCGAGACCAGCCTGGCTAACATGGTGAAACCCTGTCTCTACTAAAAATATAAAAACTAGCTGGGCATGGTGGCATGTGGAGTCCTAGCTACTAGAGAGGCTGAGGCAGGACAATCGCTTGAACCCAGGAAGCAGAGGTTGTAGTAAGACAAGATTGCACCATTGCACTTCAGCCTGGGTGACAGAGCAAGACTCTGTCCCTACTACCCCACCCACCCCCCGACCCCCACACAAAAAGGGAAATCAGAGAAGCTGAAAGAGGAACTTTAGCAGTTGCTTTGGGCTCAGACATGCGTCATGCCAAAGTTGAGGGCCAGGAGAGAAGAGACAACACACCTAAGCAGCAACCACACCTAGTACCCTCCTCTGATCTTCTGGATCTACGAAGATGAGGGCAGCTGCTTCACTTCTGCCTCCCAAGTTTCATGCAAAATATCTCTGGTGGTCCACGCTAACCCAGCCTATTTGGAACAGAGATGGGAATTCTAGAGATTCTAGTTCCAGCTTAGGTAGGCTGGCAGTGTACAAATCCATCACAAGCCTATATCTTAACGGAGATAATAATATCTAACTCACAGGATTGTTGGGAAGAATAAATGAGATAATCTATGTAAACATATCTAACACATAGCAGATAATAATTTTTTTCTTCCTTTCTTATACCCTTTTGCCAAGGAATAGCACAATTTCAGGCATTAGGGTCTGTGGAAAAGGTTTTATGTATTTGTTTATCGGGGGAGGGTGCTGTGGGGCTGTGAGGATACCTTTTAAAATTATTAAAATGATTATATCAGATTGCAAATTACCTGTTATACCTATATTTGAGGGTGACTCTGTCTGAGGATGTGGAAGATAAACTGAATGCCCCAGACCACTGAAGATACATTTAGCATACATACATATACAGACAATAAAAACAGATGGAAAGAAATTACATAAATTGGTGGAAAAACAAATTTAATTTATGAAGTCAGAGTCAAAGAATGTCAGGGCTGGTGGGAGCTTAGGAGGAGGTCAGATAGTTCAATAACTAATTTTCAGAGATGATAAACTGAGGCTCAGAGAGAAGAAATAAATTGGGTAGATTCACTACTTGTTTGGTCCAGAAACATTTATTATAGGATGTTTTTTAGAATCGTATAGAACTTGTTAAATATATTGTAAGGATATTGTTGAAGACTTCATACATTTTATTATTCAGTGTCTTCCATATACAATTCCACATGAGAAATTTTAGAACTAAGTGCTGGGAAAAGCTTTGTTTAACCTGAGGAACTGGTATGCTTTTAGTCTTTGTGGACAATAGAAATCTGGTAAATGATCGTGAGGAAACATGACGATTTTGCTTTGGTTGCCAAGATGTTCAGAGCCAAATTTGTAGCCCGAACTTTACTAACCATGCAGGTCTCTATGGGCCTCAGTATTGATGTCTTACCTTTGCCTCTGGCTTTGTTGCTTTTTTTCTGCTTGTCTTGATTTTTAGTTAATATTTTATATATATATTTATTTTTTTTTTTTGAGATGACTCTTGCTCTGTCGCCTAGGCTGGAGTACAGTGGTGCAATCTCGGCTCACTGCAACCTCTGCCTCCCAGGTTCAAGTGATTCTCCTGCCCCAGCCTCCTGAGTAGCTGCGATTACAGGCACATGCCACCACGCCCAGCTATTTTTTTTTTTTTTTTTTTGTATTTTTAGTAGAGACGGGCTTTCACCATGTTGGTCAGGCTGGTCTCGAACTCCTGACCTCGTGATCTGCCTATGTCGGCCTCCCAAACAAACACAAAGTGCTGGGATTACCGGCAAAAGCCACCACGCCCAGCCAATATTTATATTTAATATGTTATATATGTAAGTGGCCTCAAATTCTTTATGGTATGAGGAAGGATGTAAACACGTAAGTAGAAAAATCCTATATTATTTGACCTCTGTGGTACAGTGAAAAAGCACTGGGCATGGAATAAATTCTAGTCTAGGCTCTGCCATTTTAATAGACTTCTTTAAACTTCAGTTTCTTTAATCAGCTTGGATATTGTAACTTCTGGTATGATTCAGAAGTCAGCCTTTTTAAAAGAGGATAGAGGTGTCTAAAACCTTGTGTGACTGTCCCATATATAAAAAGTGTTTTGGGGAACTTGACTCTCAGTTAAGAGATTCAGGGTGACTTGAAAGGAGGATTTTACTCAATTCTGGATAAGAAACCAGAGTTAGCTCAAATATTTATATTGGTGAGAGAACAGTACACAAAGTAGAATGTGTACATTTATTTGCTTTGATTTTTAATATTTTTAATTTAAAAAAGTATATGGTAAAATTGACTTTTTGGTGAGTACGCATTCTATGAGTTTTAACATATGTGTAGATTCACATCACCACCACAAGCAGGATACAGAACAGTTCCATGTCCCCAGAAAACTCCCTCTGGCTCTCCTTTGATAGTCAAACTCTCCTCCACACATATGCCTTGATTTTATTTATTTAAAAATGTCCTCCCCAACATTTTATGAGAATAGATTAAGATAAAATTTGATCCAACCATTCACTTTATAGAGTTCCTACTGTATGCTCCCCACTGTGATAGGTTCTGTGATTGTTTAAGGGGTATCATGTGTGGACCAGGTCTTCAAGTATGTTATGGTGTGGTTGGCAAGATCAGCTTAATACCTTGGAAACAATTAGAGGAGCTTATAAGACACTGTGCAAGCAAGGGCTAAATTGGTACAGATCAGAAGATGAGGAAACATCTGTCTATGTTTGAATATAGGTTTCTGCAACTGAATGACACACTACTTGTATATTGTATGTATCTTTCTATGTGAGAACAGACTGAAATGTATTTAGAAACGTAGAGTTAAGTTTCACCTCCAAAAGGGATATATTAGTCTAAACAGATGAAAGAGAAATCATATGATTGTGAGAGTATTTACAAAAGTCTTCAGAATCTATAGTCAAGGAAGTCTACCTAAGTGCAAAAAACTATTTTATTTTTATAAGATGTGGGAAGACAGATGATTGCCAAATGGCTTTGCTCTGTGTCCAGGGAAATTTAACGAAGCTGACAGCCAGATATCTGTTGCAGAAGTCTGACTAGAGTTTTCCATTATGAATACAGTACATGTGAATTCTGAACATATGGCTCTCATCAGTGATCTATGAGGAGGTGATGGAATGTAGGTTGGTGAAGACAAGAGGAAGGCCAAGTCTCTGACTCTAAAGTGAGAGGCAGCTGGACCCCATATGTGTGTGTGTTTAGACTTGGAGCCAGCTTTATGTCAAGGGAGTAGGCAGTCACCCAAGCCTCATGATTTGTAGGGTGTGGAGAAAGGATCTTCCTTTGCCAAATTCTTTCCCTACAGGCAAACCCCAAAGCCTGAACTTTCCATTAGAGAAAGAAACAACATATTGTGTCTTCCAAAGCCCCTCTTTAAAGTATAAGGAGCTGGGTAGGGGGAGGGACACTAACTGATTAAGCTGGAAACAGCTATCAGAGTGTTGATGTGGAGCAGTTTATCTAACAGGCCTAGTGAAACTGGAGGGAAGAGTAGGACCCATGGGATGGGGTAGGTCTGTGTGTCTGTGGATATGTGCATGAGTGTCCATGTACACACATGCTGGGGGTCAGTGTGAAAAGTTGACCCCCATACACGTGAGAACAGTAATATTTAGTGCACATTTACATATTTCAGCTCATTTGCTATATGTTGAGTGCCTGCAGTATTTTACTCTGCAAGGTGGCAGGCCTCCCTGGTATCAACCAGGATACAGGTTACGGCAGAGATTGGTTAAGAATCAGTTAAGAAGATGACCTTCCGAGGTACCCTTGGCCTGAATATCTCAAAGGGCCTTTTAAGACAACTTCCAGCCAGCCGGCACAGAAAGTGGGGGTAAAGCCAAGAGTGTGAAGCCCATGACATGAATGGAGAGAATAGCTATTAGAGAAGTTGTTGCTTCTCTAAAAATAACCTAGATATTGGGCCGGGCATGGTGGCTCACGCCTGTAATCCCAGTACTTTGGGAGGCCAAGGCTGGTGGATCTCTTGAGGTCAGGAGATTGAGACCATCCTAGCTGACATAGTGAAACCCCGTCTATACTAAAAATACAAAAAATTAGCCAAACGTGGTGGCATGCACTTGTAGTCCCAGACACTCAGAAGGCTGAAGCAGGAGAATCACTTGAACTCAGAAGGCAGAGGTTCCAATGAGCTGAGATCACACCACTGTACTACAGCCTGGGCAACAAAGTGAGATGCCATCTCAAAAAACTAAAAAAAAAAAAAAAAACAAAACCCTAGCTATTTAGGGTACAAGCAGGACTGTCGGGTGTGTATGATGAGAGCCAAAAGCCCCACCCTTTCCACACAAATGAGGTGATATTAAGAGCAGACCTTTCTGACCATGTCCTTTAAACCTGACACCCTAGGTATGGTCCTGCCTTGCATCTTGAAAACTGTCCTTATTTCTCAACAAAATTGCCTCTGGAATCCTCTTTCCAAGCTATTTTTAGCAATCAGTCCAACCTTGCTAAGCTGGGAAAACACATAAAGCTTATTTTCTTTTGAAAATGAAGGAAAATATATTCTAAAAAGCTATGAAGATGTGCAGGATCTCACTAAATGTTGGATTTGACTATTTGAAATGTGCAAGACTAATCAGTTCAGAGGCTTGTCCAACCCTTAGAATGTGGAAGAGCATTGGACCTACAGAGAAAAAGCTTTACAAAACTTAAAATCTAGTGCCAAAATGTTTTCTGGGTTTGTTGGTACCTCTCTGACATAAAAGCATTAGTTTTCTCACAATTCTGTGTGATTTTTGGTAATTATATAACTGAGCCTTTTGTATTAAAAAGGCAAGTACTTGCTTTTCCACCCACTCCCCCCTCCCCCAGAGCACCACTCGCTCTGAGCTGCAGACTTTTGCTGAACATGTGGTAGCATGTTACCGTCGTCTTCAGCCACCATCATGATTATCTACTGGGACCTCATTAGCCACCATGAGATGTTCTCCAACATCTACAAGATCCGTGAGATCGAGGACAGGCTGTGCCTGGAGGTGGAGGGGAAGATGGTCAGTAGCATAGAAGGTAACACTGATGACTCCCTCATTGGTGGAAATGCCTCTGCTGAAGGCCCTGAGGGCAAAGGTACCGAAAGTACAGTAATCACTGGTGTTGATATTGTCATGAACCATCACCTGCAGGAAACAAGTTTCACAAAAGAAGCCTACAAGAAGTACGTCAAAGATTACATGAAATCAGTCAAAGGCAAACTTAAAGAACAGAGACCAGAAAGAGTAAAACCTTTTATGACAGGGGCTGCAGAGCAAATCAAGCACATTCTTGCTAATTTCAAAAAACTACCAGTTCTTTACTGGTGAAAACATGAATCCAGATGGCATAGTTGCTCTACTGGATTACCGTGAGGATGGTGTGACCCCATATATGATTTTCTTTAAGGATGGTTTAGAAATGAAAAAATGTTAACAAATTTGGCAATTACTTTGGATCTGTCAATTGTCATCATAACTGGCCTCTGCCTGTCATCCACACAACACCAGAACTTAAGACAAATGGGACTGATGTCACTTTGAGCTTTTCATTTATTTTGACCATGATTTATTTGGAGTGGAGACATTGTTTTTCAGAAAAACATGTCATGTAGGTTTTCTAAAAATAAAATTCATTTAAACTCGTTTGAGAGAATGCCTTTTAGTTTAATACGTATTTAAACTAAATTCATCCTGCAATGTCCCTGGAGAAGCTAGAGCCTGGTTGTAAGCTACTACTGGAAAGAATAAGACTCTTCAATTAACTTCTACAGTGGAAACTACTTCTGGGACTAGAATATAAAAAAGAATCAAACGTTTTGATTGTGAATTGCAATGAAGGGAAAGAGCATGCTCATAGCAGTGCCACCATCTGAAGTGGAGCCTTACACATTTTATCACCTACAATGGAAGTAGTTAACTGGAAGAGATTACCAAGAGAATAAGAAGAGACTAATTCAGTTGGAAAAAAAAAAAAAGGCAAGTACTTTGCAGATTGGTTTGGGGTAGAGATAACCAACAAAAACCCATGTGGGTGTGGTGTTGGCTTTTCTGAGTTCACTGTTGGATGGAAAATTCAGACTATTTCTCAGCCTGAGTCATCTGAAAAAATTGGATTTGCTAATTTGCAGGTGGAAAATTTAATGTGCCTGTTAATTTTTCAGATGATGACATTTAAAGGTGAAAGTGATAATGGTGCTGGGAAGGTGTACTTGGGGATCATGGTCTTTACGGTCCTGGGGCAGAGCTGCCGTTGAGGTCAGGTGAATTGGCTTTGGTCAAAGGGCAGAAGCAGGGCTCCAGTATAACTTCCGTTTAGATTGATAATGGAAATTTCCCATTATAACTTGTGGGCATATCATGTATTGGAGATACATAAGTAAAATTTTGGGCCCTGAGATCTACTTTCTGCTGGCTAAATTAGTGTTTGTAACTTTTGAATGGTATCTAGGAATAGGGACACTACCAACTTTCTCAATAGCCTGTCTCATTTTTAGAGAGGTCAAAAACCTCTAATTTCTAGCCATGCCTCTCATACTTAAATCTACCCATTTCATCTTGGTCAGTGTATCATTTTCATGAGAATAACTTCTGAGCATTGTTCTATTCAGATGCCTTCACGGACTACTGGACCACATTCCTCAACTATTCTGTAGGCTAAATAACTTTCTATAGTGATAATGTAGACCTTTCTCAATTGACTCAATAAGAAATGAGTCTTTAGCCTTCTTGCTTTTACAGTAATAATGATAACAATATCAATAGCTAATAATTGTCATTTCTTTTTGGAAAAAGCTGACATTTATGGAGTGATTACTAATTGCCAGGCAGTGTACTAAGGATTTTACATGTATTGGTTCATTTTAACTTCCTGATAACCCAATGGGGGTAGAAGTTACCATTTTGCTGTTTTAAAGATTAGGAACTTGAAAGTGAGAGTTAATTTGTCCAGGTTCATACTGTAAGTTTAACCAGTATCCCTCTATGGTGCTCTATGGATTCCCCAATTATTGAGATTATTCGGGCTTTTTTGTATTTATTTTTCATATGTCTGTGTACACACACACACACACACACACACACACACACTCTAACACACATACATATACAAATATATGGGAAAATAAGTGTGGGTAAGTTTGCTAAATGCACGTCATGCTGCTTTATGCCATGCTGAGGTACTAACATCTTTAAAGAGTAGCTGACCTTCATCTGTACTGAAATTATTCCCTTAGGAATATTTCATTTCTCTTTTCCATTAATAAGCTGCCTTGAAGAGCAAATTAGTTCTAGGAAGGATGCTACATTAAGTTTCAAAGTGCTAGAGCCAAAGGAATTTTAATATTTTCACCTTTACTCTATCCACATATGTTGTAGATGATAAAATTTTATAGCAGTTCCTACTCCATGCATTGCCTCTCAGTCCTAGGGGCTGTCAGGTGAGGGCTATGAGGAACCACTGCATATCCCCAAATGAATAGAATACTGTATAGGCCACTTTGTAGCCCTTTACAGTCTAGTAGGAGAAATAAGCATAAGCCTATGTTGTATGTGAGAACAAACAATGCTGCATGCGCTATCTGTGTACTAAGTACATTTTCAGAGTTGCTCTTGGCTATTGGAGGAGAGAGTGAAGTGTACATTTTCAGGGGATTTAATAGTGTCTAGAAGTTCAGAAATCCAGGATGTGGCATTTGGTTTCGGATTTGAAGTCAAGGAACCAAGGAAAAGTAGAGGAATTTCTGAAGTGGGATTCATTAGTTTTGCATCCGAATTGAGCTACCGGTCACAGATTGGCACTGCTGTGTGCCATGATGGGCTGGAGGCGTGGCAAGACCTGGATCTTAGGAAGATCAGCAAGACCTGCACCCTAAACCTGTCTTTGCTATTTTGGAGGTGTGCAACCTTGGGCAAGTTAAGTCTTACCTCTGGGCCTCAGCTTCTTCGCTTGTAAAGTGGGGACAAGATCACATGTACCTCATAGGTGTGTAACGGTTAAACAGGTTAATAGATGAGAGTCTGCTTTGAGTCTAGAAAGAAAATTAGAATGGTTGGCAATCACTAATAATTATATTTTAGATGTACTCTAGATGAATTTTTTTTAGCTTTTTTCTTTCAGTACTAAGTCTATTACTTTCCCAAGTATGTCTCACAGTATGGAACTGAAAAATATTGTTTTTAGCACATTAGAATAAAGTTTAGCCACTGATCCTATTTTGCCTCCTTCAGCCCATTTCTGAGCAGACTTGGGATGGCCTTCCCCTGGTTAGGGACATGGAATGAGTTTCTCAACTCTTTTTTTTTTTTGAGACAGAGTCTTGCTCTGTCCCCCAGGCTGGAATGCAATAGCGTGATCTCGGCTCACTGCAACCTCTGCCTCCCGGGCTCAAGCGATTCTCCTGCCTCAGCCTCCCTAGTAGCTGGGATTACACGTGTGTGGCACTGTACTTGGCTAATTTTTGTATTTTTAGTAGAGACAGGGTTTCACCATGTTGGCCAGGCTGGTCTTGAACTCCTGAGCTCAGGTGATCCGCCCACCTCGGCCTCCCAAAGTGCTGGGATTACAGGTGCGAGCCACCATGCCTGGCCATTAGTTTTTCAACTCTTAAATTAATGCACTGCCTGCCACTTACCTACTCATTTGGCTTTAAAGCTCATGGCTTGCCCTTAATCAATAGCTTAGGACAGTGGTCTCCAAAGTGGGAATGTATAGACCCACGGGGGTTGTGCAAGATAATCTATATGGGTGTGGAGAAAACATCAAAATTTCTAATTACTTTTTCTATTTTTTTTTTTTTTTTTTAGAGCCCAGGGTCTGAAAAAACAAAACAAAACAAAACAAAACAAAACAACTCCTGGGCTCAAGTGATCCTCCTATCTCAGCCTCCTGAATAGTTGAGACTATAGGTAGATTCCACCATGTTTGGCTTACTTCATAGTGCTTAATCTTTGAACACTGCTTCTCATTTGGATATGTGTTAGATGTGTCACATATGTTTGTCAGCACCCTGCAGAAAGAGTAGGTATTTCATAATTCAAAGGGATTTTCAGCAACAGCCTCACTTGTTTTTTGCTTTCAGTATATTGTGAAATACTATAGTTTACCTGTGCAGGGAGAAGGTCATGGTTTACATGATCTTAAATGATAGACTCTTTTACATAGTTTGTAAGGAGATGGAGAATGATCATGGAAATCTTTTGTGCCACCCTGAGATCTCATTAGTTATCTTGAGGAAAATATTTAAAAAGTTCAACAGGAATGAGTTACAATCTTTTTCTTCTAAACAAAGACAAGTATTCCAAATTTACTGATCCTTTCTTGCTAAGTAGTCGGCAATACCTAGAAGACACTATTTTTTAAAAAAGATTTACTCTATCCTTTCAAGGCAAGTTTTAATATTGAGTGAAAAGTAAATGCTTACAAAAGCATATCTTAAAAATGGATGCTGAAAAATGTTTCTATCTTTTCTGTGGTTTTGTTGCTTTGCCAACAACCATGAAAACCTCTGGTACTTGAATAATTTTAAAAGTTGGAAATAAACATTTCTACCCTCTTTAAAGCATTTTCAAATGAAGGATTTTAACAAATTTTGATCCTATTTGTTAAAAATGATAATATATCACATCTTCTGATTAGTTTGCAGGCACAACTGATTGACATCAGGAAATAAGAAAATTTGTTTCACAAATTATAGCAAAACATTTAAATAAAGGATGAAATAAAAACTGTGTTCAGGATTACATACTAAGCGTAGACAATGATGTACTTCTGTTTGAA